GGTGCCGTCCTGGATGCGGGTTCCCGACGCCGGACCCTTGTGCATAGGGTCAAAGACAAAAATAAGTCAGGAGAGGACAAAGGCACCGGTAGGTTTGCCCGTCTACTTATATAAAGCTGGCTGCGATCGCTTCTTTTTCTTCTTCATTCCAAAGACTGCGCTAGGTCCGATACCTTCATCGCGTCTGGTCTTCTGCTTCTCCTGCCTCAGTGTTTTTCTTTTGACAGGTGCTGAAGCATCCGAATTCTCCATCAAGACACGGGTGTTCAGAGATAAGTCATCCACAGAGGGTCACCCGCCATCCCTTGCTCGCGTCCTCCCACGGCACCACCGCTCGGCTACGATGAGCAACGTTACCCTGCTGATGCCGGGGCACGATGGCCGTCTTGAGATTTACAAGTCGCGGCGTGCCCTTATGCGAGGCATCCTTGAAATCCCTGCAGCAGCTGTCTATCATGCGGCACCCGCGGCACCCGCGGCACCCGCGTCGACAGTTTCACGCGCAGCCGGACCTCTCCCAGCCTTCCATGGTAGAGGCACCAAAGACAGCCTGTTCGATGGCCGATCAATCTGCCCTGACATGGAAACAAGAGCCGTCTACATTGCACCACGCACAAGCTCGTGCCTTGATGCTGGGAGACGGACACTTTCCTCCGGTCACAGAGCTGCCGCTTCCGTCCACTTTGCTGATACAGGGATCGACGGCGCCGCACGGAATGCCGTGGAGAGGCCCCCTACTTGATGGGCGTACACAATGCATGACGGTCGTGGTAGCTGATATCGAGGCGGTGGGGCCTGTACCAAAATTTATGGGCCGCAGGCAGCCCCTGGCGTCGTGGTTGAACCACAGCGACGACGACTAGCGGTGCAGCAGAAGCCGTCGTCGTGTAGTGTGGAGTATGATGTTCGTCGAGAGAGCAACATGGATTTGGGTCATTTCTGAATGGGTACACTGGAAGCGTTCATTGTATGTTGGTTCCCGCGTATGTAAACCCGCTATCCACTCATTGTTAACAACAATAAATGCATCACGATCAACAGTCTCCGGTGCCCCCTGGTCCGACGTGCAAAGCGCTCCGCCGTGGCTTGACACAGCACTGTCCTTTGGAATTCAATGGGATACTTTTGGCAAAATCAGCTCAGATCTGAGACGTTTCAAACGTAGGACTTTCACTGCGCCGCATCACATCGTGCAGCATGGCTCGCGAGCTGTCGTTCAGAGACAATGGACTAAGTCTTTCATCTCTGATCGCTCAACCTTGCAACGTTGAACACCATACTTTCGTAGCCGACTAGTCTTTCCGCTTAGCTCAATCAATCAAAGAGTAACAACAGAGGGCTGTCTGGGGCGTCCAAAACTTTCCCTCTTGGGCGAGACGCGATTGCTGCGTAAGCAAGCGAAGTCTGCTCGATAGAGTATGATAGACGACGCGTGTCGGCGCGCAATAACACATGGTGGCAGGGCTGGCTCTCTAAGGCGATGCTAGCCTCAACAACACCAAAATGTTGAAGATGATGGTTATTTGTGTGGAAGACAATGTGGCCGAAAGGATACATCCAGGGGTCTATGGCCGCTCAGCGTGATCGCGTCACAGGCTTGCCAACCAGAAGCGAAGCCATCATCATCCGTAGTGGAAGAGAAACGAACAGGGGTCTGGAAACCACCTCCACGGCAATGAAGTGTCACTGAAATGGCAGATAATGCGTTGCCGTTGCTGTCGACGACTTGGCAAGTCACCGAAACCATGGCTGGCGGGCTGTTGAACAAGAGTTCCATCACTTGGACGCGCGACATGCTATTCATGTTAAATACGTTGAGAGCTTCGGTACTACACACAGCAGTCTTGTCGCTTTGCAGCGTACCAGGGTGGCATGGCAATGGCCACGCGACAATCAGTTGCCATAACCTTTAATCAAGCGGGGCCCAATAATCAGATCCGAAAGGCCCCCTCTTACTTTACAACATGGGCGCTCGGAGCATGACAGTTAGACTTGAAGCCTTTCTTGTACTGTAATCCGTCACCGGCCAGAGGCAAACGGCCGAAAAGAAGGAGCAGAGACATTCAAATTGTCGTACGACGGGTTCAAAAGTGAAATACGACTATTCGCCAATGTTCAACAGCAGCACGCGGCAAACGACAGTAGTGCAGGCACTGGCTTTCCGTATAGCTTTGAGCTTCTAATTGACCGTGGAACCCATCCTCTCGGCAGCAGCCTGTCTACATTAAAATAGGGCATACACCCTCTCAGTCTAGCATAACGCAAGTGGGCGCCCATGCCTCCTGCGAAACGTTGTTCTAGTGCTAACACGGGCGATAAAAAAAAAGACCTCAGTCCCGACCGGAAGCCTCATAAACTATGTAGGATGCGTTCCAGCTACTCGACGCCAATAAGTTGGCTCGACGAGCGTCACCCATGTATTGGGCGAGTATCCAAAAGTGGGAATAGAGCGCGCGCTTGATGACCACTGATGGGTGCGCAGCAACACAGTTGTTGTATGTTGATTCCAGCTCCGATTTCAAATTACACATTTGCTGCAGTCTGGCTGAAACCCGGATACGAATGGGGAGGGACAGGGAAAGATTGTTACCCCATGCCGCTGGCTCTGTACAGTACTGTACAGTGTTTCCTGGCGTTCACGGATGTATTTCGAAAGCCGAGATCGGAAAAGGACTGTGTCCACTCTGCCCTCATCGTCTCCCTCGGGTACAAAACCAACAAACTTGATAGTTACCAAGACACGACCGGAGTGCACACATCGCGTATCCTTTCGAAAGCGAGTTTCCTTCCAGTGGCCATGCGTACCGAGCCATCCGTGACAGAAAAGAGCCTTCCGGCCTTGCCATCTAGGGCGAAGCAACAGCACAAGGAGGATGACCGAAGTCGACGAATGCGCGACCTGCACAAGCTGTGGAAACGCCCGCCAGTGACGTTCGCGTCCAGCGAGCCTGCGGAGGAGATTCTTAGCCTCGAAGATGACCCACCGCAAAAGGCCCAATTGCTACGAAGAGACAATGAGACACTAAGGCAAGAAGTAGCAATGTTACGTGCAGCACAGCGCACCGACAAGAATCGTATCGAAGACCTCGTCCAAGAGCTGGACCGCGCACGTCATGACAATGCGGAACAGAGCCGACGAATTGCAAGAGTGATTAGCGCCGTCAACAAGGCATTTTCGGAATACAAAAAGTGGATGCGAAAGTCGCTGGAGATGGAGTCGGCAGAGATATCGTCGTTGTCCAGTGGCGATTCACAGGGCATGATTCCCATAGGCCGAAGTGCCTTCTCCGATGATGATGACGATAGTCTGTATAGTTCTTGCATCTAGTGCTATGGCGAAGACGAGTAGCTCACTGGAGACGGGGCCGGGGGAGAGGGGTTCTCTGATGGAGCGAAGGAAGCAGCTTCTTGACTTTGCAGCGTTGTGGGGGTTCTAGGCTTTAGAAGCTGAGTCTAGAGACGTTGGAGCGGCTAGTTAGATTATTTTGAAAAGAATAGCTTTGTTAACAAGATCCTTCGCACGCTGATCGCCGTGAGCATGTCAGTTTCACTGCAACTTAGAGTAGCGAGAGGTGCCTAGGCGGAACAGACACAATGGCAGCTGCCTTGAGGTCCCCATTTGCGTTACTTTTGTAGATCAGCCGCCATCTCGCCCGGTGCTACACTACTGTAACGAGATATGAGGTGTCCATAGCGAACTCGTTGCATTTGTAGTCACATCAGCGGAGGAGACTGACAGGAGTACGACGAAAGCCCTCATCAATTATTTTTCCATGTCATCCAGGTCTGCAGAATCAATCCCGGCACGGCTACAGCTTATTGTGGCGCTGGCGTCTGCAACCACCCTCTCGCAACTCCAATAACCGTGGTTGTCAAACTTCAAGAGGCAGGCTGTTTCAGCGAGCTACGTCTTCCAGAGGCCACCGTGAAGCGTATTCCTGGCTCTTGCCACCATAGGTTCGCTAGATTCCCCTCGGGTCTGCAAAGCTACCCCTGGCTTGACTTGATGATCACCTCCAGAAGAGTTGATACGCTCGCCGTAGCCATCCTCAACCAAGCAGGCCGCCACATTGAAACCCCATGGGTGCATAAGACCCCCGTCACTCACATGAGCCTCACCTAGCTGGAAGTTGAGATCAACGAGCTTTTCGTTCGTGAACGGAAGCCCCCCAGGCGTGACAGACTCCGGCTCATGCTGACCATTCATGACGCCAAAAAGGAGGTCTGGACGACTACAATCCTTGGGTCATAAGACCGGAGGAAATAATTTCGTGCTCAGATCATGGCAGTCAAAAAGCAAAACTGGCATCAATGACGCTATCGCGCGAAGCCAGAGCAGCCCGCCCCTCAAGATGTTGGTTCAGGCCGAGGCACATGTGTAAGGCGGTCGGTCCTATTTGAGCGCCGTGCTAGTTCTCCACACATTGAAGGCAGCTGGTTTCAACCTGCAGCATCGGTCAGTTTGCACAAATGCGGAGATACAGTTGAGACGCAAAACACCAGCAGACCATTCATTTTACGCATGCGCGGTGGGCCGCAATGGAAGTGTACCAGCCACGCCAACAAGGGCATGGGCTGAAGAGACAGACGAAAGAGTACGGCTGCCGTCTAGACGCGTTGTGGCATTGGAATAGTGCGTTGAATCTTTCGAATCACTTCCATCGTGTCTAAGCGTCTCGAGGTGGTGAATATAGATCCATCTGCTGCGATCGTATCAGGATAGGCCGCCTTGGCTTATGTCTCGACCACTACATTGCCCAGGCGCACGCCGTGCTTCAAAATCGTCGTGCCCCACCGCCAATCACGATCAGCAAGCCCGACGCCGATGTTGGGGGAGTCCGCGCAACATGTCCCTTGTAATAATTGTTATCATTCCGATCCCGTATTTTGCCCTCTGAAGGTCATAGCCATCACGACATCGTAGAGCGTCAACAATCTGATACTACCGCTCGAAGCTTGAGGGCCTTGAACACAAACACAAGAAATCCATATGAGAGTATCTAAGGCATACCGCTATCCCTCATTCTAGCTTTTCAATCAAAGGTTGACCAGATCAATGCGGCCTGCGCTACCGTCGAAGCTTTCCCAGCAGGCCCCTACCAACAACACTTCTATCTTTCGACCTACGCTTGCGATCACTATATTTCTGCTCTCCATCCACTGCATAAGCTCCGCCATTGTCATACCTGCCGTCCTTGATACACTCGTCTGCACTATCGTCTCCGCTGGACTCCGAACTGGACTCATCCTCGCTCCTTTCGTCGAGCGAGCGATGGTGCCTCCTGGGGACAGACCTGAGTTTACCATCATCTGCAACAGCTGTAACTGTCAACAGCCACTCTTCCTCATCCAACTTCGTTTTAGTGTCCAGACATTTCTTCAACCAATCGTGTTGAACAATCTTGATGAATTTATGACTCATATTTGGGCTTTTTTGCAGCTCTCTGTTGTACGAGCACACAATATCGATCAGAGCAGACCTTTGTGGGACTTCTGATTCAGAGATACATAGGTGCGTCATGCCGTCGAGGTTGTCACCGCTAAAGTCCAAACTCCCTCCAAGTCTAACGATGGCATTGCGGACACTATTCAAGTTATCCGTCTCCTTGCTTGTTGGATATGTCGGCGTGATGGTGATTAAGCATCCGTCTAAGACGAACGGCGAGCTATCGCTTTCCGGACCTATTCCATACTTATTAGGGTCCAGAAACTCATGCTTATCCCAGGAATCAAACAGCCAATTCAAGCCAACCAGGAAACTTTCTTGCTGAGAAGCACCGAGGACTTGTCGGTTGCAATACCGCATTTGGTGGTGCGTAGTGCATACAACACTCGTGGAGGCCCTGACGCGTTTGTGATACACGGCACCCAGCTCCTCGATCCAAGACTTGGCCTCCTCAAGCGTCACACCATCAGTAGGCATGGGCGCGACGATGGTAACGCTGTTGATGGGTATCATGGTAAAATGTGATACAAGATTGAGTTCGATGGGGAAGGATGGCTACGTGCTTCGACTGAAGATTCTAAGGTTTAGTTAGGTGACAGAAAACATTGGAAGATTTATAGCTCCCAGCCATATCGCAAAGGGTTGTCCACAATTAATTGTAAAATCATTCAAATTTCGGTTTGAGGTGTCATGATATTCTCTCTGGCTTAATGAAACATGTCGCTTACGGACTTTCCACATCAGGAAGGGGCATTTAACAATTCAATTACGGGAGGGTTCTTTACATCATGAGTGCGCAGATGATTAATCAAATTTAGGTGTTCGCCGGGACTAGCTGGGTCATTTCCAAGAGCATGTGCGCAGATGGAACCGTGGCCTCTGACAAGTGCGGGCTTGCCTTCCCTCATTCTTCTTGAGCCGCTACAGCGCTTCGTTCAACACTGCTTGCCTTGCTATCCTCTAATGTGGAAAGTCGCGGCCGCACAGGCAACCAGTGTCGCCCTCGAGCGCCTGGAAGTCAAGTGGCTACGCCAGTGAACTGTATGATAAGTTCGAAGTCAAATCCGGCTCTACGCTTTCATTGAGCCCGTATGAAGCTTATTTCCACTTCTGACTTGATGAAATGGACACCAGTGACCCCATAGCAATACTTAAAAGCAACTTGGGCTGTTGCGACGCGCTGTTTTCTCACTTCTCTCGTAAGCCTGCCTTCAACTGCCTGTAATGCTTTCGGTGACCTGCCAAGTGCTTGACAACGACGGCCTTCCGCTCGAGGGACTGCAGGTGCATCTAGAATGCGTTGCCGGCGTGCGTCCCGACACTCGTTTTGAAGCGACAACGGATGAAGACGGACGTGTGACGTGCTGGAATCAACGCCATGCGGAGGCCTTACTCACCACAGAGGGAGAGCTTCTACCTGTCCATGTTGAGCCTGGCTCGTCCTCTTCACTGCGACTCATATTCCTGACGCAGGGCCTACACGGCTGTGCTTACAATCCTTTGCCAACCGTACAATCAACCCTTGATGTGAGCGCTTGGTCCTCCCACCACATTCTTCTATGGATCAATCGCGCACATCCCAGCTATCGAGTCCAACACCTGATCGCGCGTCCGAGTTCTTGGTTGATTGAGAGCACCGGCGCCCTGTCTGCGATGGTCAGCAGTCCCTCATCAAGTACTGCCACGGGCCCTTGCCAGTCTCCGCCCGGCCAAGTCACACACGCAAGCGAAGGCAAGCTCGATTCGCCTCCTCTACTCACGTTGTCTTCGCCCATCCTCCCCATGGCCAATAACATGTGGACTTGTTCCGCAAGCCGCCCCAGAAAGAGGAAATCTCCATGGGATGAGAAGGACGGACCGGCAATGAAGAAGCAGTGCTCCGGTTACATCGACTGCACCAGCTCGGCGCGTCAGCACATATGATCGAATCTGTCAGCATTGCGCTTGCGTTGCTTTCGTATCATGGCCACCATGGGGGACACGTCTTCCTCCTGAGCAATAGAGTCTAGAAGGGAAAGCATTGGATTATGTGTCAATTGGTATTATGATAGCCATTAGTACATGTGCTTGAAAGCCGCGATGACCAAACAATTGAATCGATTGAGTTCTCAGACCTGAAGAAGGCCTTGTTTCGTTGACCAGCGCACCAAACTAGCCGCTCGCCAGGGCTGGGGTGATGAGCCAAACAAACACTATTGGTAGATGTCTTACCGCAAGCTGCCAGCGCTGTAAACTCTACCGTATGAGCTGGCTCATCGAGTAAGCTCGCTCTCCGGCCATTGCCTTCTCGGTTGAGTTGCTCTGCACTGCAAGGGACGTCTTTTGTATAGTGAGGGTTCAGGGTAATGATCTCGCCGTCTACTCTGATCGTTAGGGTCACTTGCGCGCCCAAATGATGCAGCTCAGCAGCCTTCTTCATGAGGACTACCGATCGGGTTCTGATGCTGCGTGGCGCTGTGCGAAAGATCTTGCTTCGAGGGTCCATACTGTCCTTGCAGAGAACGGAGAAGATCCGGGACGATTTCAGACGAAGGAAGAGAGGAGGAGATGCTGCAAAATCAATCAGACATATTATATACGAGAAAACGTACTCCAACCAGTTCGTCCTTATATCTGTCGGCTGTCCGATATAGCGCTTCCATATCCAATGGAAGCGCCGCCCTCAATGTGTGCCAATCAACGGCGTGCGCTGGTGCCGCTAGCTCGCTGGGTTATGCAGCTTTGTGAATGGTTGTCTATCTCCCGCTAGCTTTTAGGGGTAAGGGGGCTGACTGCTTCTCAGGCGCTTAGCTTGTTTTAGGATTCTCATGGCGACTTACTACTTTAAGCCTCTGTGCTGCATGAGACCCGCGTCCATGTGCAGAACAGAATTAATCATCGACATGCAATTAACCCGCTGGTCAAGCACTCGAGGTTGAGCGCCTTTTTCGCGCCAACAGACATTGACACCCACGCCGTCAAGTGGACATGCTTGTCCGTTGAGATGGTTGGTAATACTTAATATAAATTATACGTTAGGGGTATAGGGATAAGTACTATTTAGTTTATTAAGTTATAATAGGTTAGAGTAAAATGATTAATTATAAGATAATAAACTTAGAAAATAGGTTAAGGAGACCTAGGTTCTTATTAATCTACTAATCTATCTATAAAGTAATAAAGCTATAAATTCTATCTACCTTTTTACTCTCTCCTACCTTAAAAGCAGCCTTTTACGCTATAATATAGCGTTAACTATCCTAGGTTAATTAATATAGTTATGTAATATACCCTAGTCCTAGCCTTATATTAACTTTCTTACTTTTTTAGGCCTCTACCGCCCACTAGCTACCCCTCGTCTACGTCTATAATATAGCTACTATTCCTTAGCTTAACCTTACCGTATTATTATAAGCGCTAGTTAACTAGCTAGCCTATCCTAATACCGTAGACTATAAATGTAAGGCCTAGGGAACTAAACTAGGCTCTAGTAGTCTATACCGTTCGCCTAGCCTACTGTTACGACCTGGCAGCTTCCGAGAGGGGGAACACTGTCAGAGGGTTAGGGTTGCTGTTAGCAGAAGCTTAGGTTGTGACTCTGAGACGATGTGGTGTCGTAAGGCGTTGCGCACTCGTTACAATGAATACAAGGTAAGACTTAGATTGATCACTGTCGTGAGAAAGAATGTATCTACAAGTCCAGAATGTCCGTCCTTATATACCTGCCATCCTGTCCTTGTTGTGTTAGGTGGTGAGCTCATGTTGGATGGCTCACTGGTTAGTTGTTGGTGTTGAACATAAGGGTGGTCAGTGCAGAGTCACGGGTCCTAAGATTACATGTGGAGACGTGATATATCTCAGGGGCAGATACACGTCCGGAGATACAACACAAGAACAGACGACCAACTGATCGGATACAAATGAACCGAATACCCGTACTGTCTGACAATTAAGAGTCTCAATCGAACCTGAGCTACCCGCGCAACAAACGACATACGACCTTCGGTCCCGACCATCACGATGTCAACGAAACAAACTGAAAAGAACATTACCTACGAGTCACCAGAAGGCTGGGACAACTGGGACAACGAGTTCAAGAAACTGGCACACGCCTACGACCAGTGGCAGTATATCGACCCGGCCGACCGTATCAGATGGCCCCGTCGACCAGAGCTTCCAGAGATCCGGGATTACTCTAGACAGGCCGACCCCGAAGATCCCGAGAGTGGCACGATGACGCCCGGCTCGGACTACCTACCACCACGACGACTTGGTGAACTCACGGCAGAGGGCAGGGCAGAATATGAGCATGACCTCAAGATCTACTCCCTGAAAGAGTCAGCATACAGAGAGGCCAAGAAGCAAGAGCAGAAACTGGTCGAGTTTGTTCTCAGGACAGTCTCGCCAACGTATCAGAAGACCTGTTGCGTGACGGGAGACCGGCTGGACAAGTGGTATGAAGAGCTACGGAGATCAGGAGCCGTATACAACGAACGTCTCCGCCCGGAAGCACGCGACAAGTATCACCAAGCCGTCCATACCATACCGAAACTCAATAAACTCAACGACTGGATCACACAGTGGGAGACCGCCATGGCCGAAGCGATCAGCAAGAGGGTCCCCGACGCCCTTGACACCCAATGCTGGGCAGAAGATCTGAATCGAGCCATGTACCACGTCCTTCCCAGCTGGGCCTCGACGTTCCGACAACATCGACGGCCCCAGATACTTAACAACACGCTCAACTACCGCGAAGTTGCTGCCGACATCCGATACGAAGCCAAGATGGCCAACCCCAGCGCTAAGTCGTCAGGAGTTAAGAAGGGTGCCTTCTTAGCCACCTATAACGATAATCCTAAGAACTCCGACCCTCCTGCTGACCCAGAACCCGACACGAACTGCATCGAAGTTCATGGAGATGCCTCAGATATACCAGTCCGAGAGACTCGGAGCACACGAGCCCGGGCACGCGGGCAGAGACGTAGAGGAGGAGGAGGGAGAGACGTCTCATCGAAAAGGAAAAGAGCGGAACCAACCACCAACCCAGATCCTGATGGCCCAACCTGCCGAGGATGCCTTGGGTTCCACAACTGGAAAGACTGCTGGTACTTGTTCCCAGACCAAAAAGCCGAAGGATGGGAGCCAAGTCTAGGTATGCAGCGATTGATCGACGACCGTCTTAAGAAAGACGCTGGTCTTGCCGAAGAAGTGAAAAGATTCTCGAAGGGCAAGGACAGAGCCACCAAGGATGAGTGACTTGGACGGGGTATGGGACGCGTCAAGGCCGCCTATATGGTGATGCGCAACGTGGTTGCCGCTGCCTTCAACTGTGCCCCCTACCCTCTCAAACACTCAGCCATCCTGGACTCAGGGTCGACGATCCACATCTTCAATGAAGTGTGCAGATTCCTCGACTACTATCCAGCACCATTCGGAGATTTCGTCCTTGCAGGAGACTCAACAGTGGTAATCCACGGGTACGGAAATGTGGATATCCGCGTCCAAGGGCCGCAAGGTCCATCGATCCTCCGACT